TCATGGCAATGGACAACAGCTCTTAAAGATTTACTAATTTGAAACTGCGGACCCTCACCTCCCACAAAAAGAATCACTCCATTGTTTGGTCCTGACATAGGATGTCACCTGGGGTGCCAGAAAAGTGGAGCAAGTTCTGGCCAGGCTAAGGTTTATGCTCAAGGAGAAGCCCTCCCATTTCCTGGCTGTAATGGTAATGAAGTCCTCCCTAGCCTGGGTAGCTCTGGGTAGCTCTGACATCTGCCCCCATCTCCCTCCACATTGCCACTGTCTCATTTCTGATTCCCAAGTTGCCTCTAGGGTCCGATCAGACCCCTTCCAATCCACTCCCACCTACACAGGTATCAGAGGGCTCCTTCTCAAACACCAATCAGACCTGGGCTCAGAGCATTCCCTGGCTCTCGGGGCTCCCCCACACCCTTGTGACCTGGCTTCCACCTTGAACTCTAGTGCCCCCGCATCTCTACATGCTACCCTCTGCCATCTCCTCTATCCATCAGACACCTGTGGCAGTCTTGGCATCATATGTACCTCCTCTTTGTGCTCTGTCTGGAGCTCCCTGTCCAGTCCTGGTCAGCTGGCTAGCTACTGATCCTCGGAGAACCAGCTCCATCAGCACCTCTCAGCAACGTAAGTGCCCCTTCTCAGAGCTCCCACCTTCTATCACCACACTGTGCCGTAACTTCTTATTTTTCTTTCTTTTTAAATTATATATAATTTTAATTTTTAAATTTCTTATTTATTTATTTTTCTTTTCTTCTTCTTCTTTTTTTTTTAAGACGGGGTTTTGCCATGTTGGTCAGGCTGGTCTTAAACTCCCGACCTCAGATGATCCGCCCGCCTTGACCTCCAAAGTGCTTGGATTACAGGTGTGAGCCACTGCGCCCGGCCTCATTTATTTGTTTTTCAATATGGGGTTTCACCATGATGGCCAGGCTGGTCTTGAACTCCTGACCTCAGGTGATCCACCCACCTTGGCCTCCCAAAGTGCTAGGATTACAGGCGTGAGTGGGCCACTGCGCCCGGCCCAATTTCTTTTTGTTTAATTTTTTTTTTTTTTTTTAAATAAAGATGGGGTTTCACCATGTTGGTCAGGCTGGTCTTGAACTCCCAACCTCAGGTGATCCGCCCACCTTGGCTTCCAAAGTGCTTGGATTACAGGCAAGAGCCACCATGCCCGGCCTTATTTTTTTTTCTTTTCACTAGACTGGGCTCTCTTTGTTTGTTTTTTGTTTTGAGATGGAGTCTCACTCTGTTGCCCAGGCTATAGTGCAATGGCTCGATCTCAGCTCCACCTCCTGGGTTCAAGCAAATCTCCTGCCTCATCCTCCCAAGTATCTGGGATCACAGTCACCTGCCACCATGTCCAGCTAATTTTGTATTTTTAGTAGAGATGGGGTTTCACCATGTTGGTCAGGCTGGTCTCGAACTCCTGACCTCAGGTGATCTGCCCACTTCAGCCTCCCAAAGTGCTGGGATTACAGGCATGAGTCACCGCACCCAGCCAAGACTGGGTCCTCTTTGAAGTAAAATGTCTGATCATGCTGTGATTCTACACCCAGCCCCACGCCATTCCCAGACTGGGTCCTGGTACAACAGCGAACACTTGTTGAATGAATAAAGTCCCAGGTGGAAGTCCACCACCTATCTGACCATGAGCTCTGGGCCTTGCATTGTATACTTTTATGTTTCCAAATGGATTGTTTTTGTGACCTCACCGTTTTCTAGGTGTGAGGCTTCACTGCCTCCTAGTCTGAAAGTGTCCCAAGGCAGGGCCAAGGCAAGCACCAGGCTGGGTCCAGGAAGCTCCTGGGTAGAGGCCACTGTTGGAAAAATGGGATCTCACAAGAGGGACTCTCCCACTCTGCCACTATTCGGCTCCTGAAGTGGGCCTTGCCTCTGAGGTGCTCCCCCAGCTGCCCCTCCCTTTATCCCAGGACTTCAGAGGTTCCCACCTCAGTCTTGGTGGTGGGGAAGGGGCAGAGGAACATCTGTTACCTTCTGTTGGAGCCTGCTCCTAGGTTAGTGGGGCCAGAGATCAATAGGGCAGAGACAGGGTGCTGATGGGTGCTGGGTTCCATTGGTGAGTCAGCACACCTATTGGAAGCCTGGGAACCGAACCTGCTGGGTTGGGGCCCGGATGCAGAAAAGAAAGCATTTCATGACCTGCTCTCTGGCCTTGGGGGCAGGTAACTGCTCTGATGCTGGATAAACATGTTCCTGTCTTCTCTACACCCCAGGATAGGTTTCTGGACTGGAAGGGAACTTTTCTGACCCATCAAGAGAAATCCTAGCCGGGCGTGGTGGCATGCACCTGTAATCCCAATACCAGCTACTCGGGAGGCTACGGCAGAATTGGTTGAACCTGGGAGGTGGAGGTTGCAGCGAGCCGAGATCTTGACATTGCACTCCAGCCTGGGCAAAAAGAGGGAAAAAAACGAAAGAAGAAAAAGAAATCCACTGCAGGCCAGACGTGTGGCTCACGTCTGTAATCCCAACACTTTGAGAAGCCAAGGCAGGCAGATCACTTGAGGTCAGGAGTTTGAGACTAGCCTGGCCAACAAGGTAAAACTCCATCTCTACTAAAAATACAAAAATTAGCCACGTGTGGTTTCAAATGCCTATAATCCCAGCTACTCTGAGGCTGAGGCGGGAGGATTGCTTGAACCTAAGTGGAGGTGGCAGTGAGCCAAGATTGCACCACTGCACTTCAGCCTGGGCAACAGAGTGAGACTCTGTCTCAAAAATAAATAAATAAATAAATATAAATAAAAAGAGGCTGGGTACAGTGGCTCACACCTGTAATCCCAGCACTTTGGGAGGCTGAGTTGGGTGGATCACCTGAGGTCAGGAGTTCGAGACCGGCCTGGCCAACATGATGTAATCCCATCTCTACTAACAATACAAAAATTAGCTGGGTGTGGTAGTACACACCTGTAATCCCAGCTACTCAGGAGGCTCAGGCCAGAGAATCACTTACACCCAGGAGGTGGAGGCTGAAGTGAGCCGAGATTGTGCCATTGCACTCCAGCCTGGGCAACAGAGCAAGACTCCGTCTCAAACAAAAATAAAGGCTGTGCAAAGTGGCTAACGCCTGTAATCCTAGCACTTTGGGAGGCTGAGGCAGGTGGATCACAAGGTCAGGAGATTGAGACCATCCTGGCTAACACGGTGAAACCGCATTTCTACTAAAAATACAAAAAATTAGCCAGGCATGATGGCACGTGCCTGAAATCACAGCTACTCGGGAGGCTGAGGCATGAGAATCACTTGAACTTGGGAGGTGGAGGTTGCAGTGAGCCGAGAATGTGCCACTGCACTCCAGCCTGGGTGACACAGTGAGACTCCGTGTCAAAAAAGAAAAAAATTAATTTAAAAATAAAATAAAAAGAGAAATCCACTGCAGCCTTATATTTGTGACAAGACTTGCAGGCCCTGCTTTCTTTTATTTTCTTACAGAGTCTTGCACTGTCGCCCGGGCTGGAGTGCAGTGTTGTGATCTCAGTTCACTGCAAACTGCGTGTCTGGTTCAAGCGATTCTCCTGCCTCAGCCTCCTGTGTAGCTGGAATTACATGTGCACGCCACCATGCCCAGCTAATTTTTTGTATTTTTAGTAGAGATGGGGTTTCACCATGTTGGCCAGGCTGGTTTTGAACTCCTGACCTGGTTACTCACCTCACCTCCCAAAGTGCTGGGATTACAGGCTTGAACCACTGCACCCAGCCTCAGGCCCTACTTTCATAGTCCTGATAATCTGGCAATCAGTCACTAGTGGTCTTGGAAAGTTGGCCCCTTTCCAAAACCAAGACCAGTCTCCCTTAAGCTTCTACCATGAAGAACCTCATCCAAGTTTTATCATTGCCTTTAGATGCTGAAGCCCAGAAGAAGCTAGGGCATCTTCTCAGGACAGTTTGCCTTCTTTCCATGCTTCTTCGGGCACCCCTGAGAGGGTCAGACAAACACACCCAAACCCCTTGGCTCTCTCCAGGGACTCACCAAGAACAGGAATATGGGGAGAGCAATGAGGGACAAAGCCTGGATGACAAAGCTCACTGATCTAAAGCTCAAGCAGAGATACTGGCGGGGAGGGAAACCTCCCTAAAGAGCCCCTCCAGTCAGCTGCAGAACGTTACTCTTGTCACCAGCAGGATTTATTGCAGGGTTCTGCCAGCAAAATGATTTACAAGTACATTCTTCCTCATCCCCTTTCCAGGGGTGCCGCTGAGTTGCACGGGAAGAGATCTGCTTCTGAGATCCTGGGGCTGTCTGCCTCCCACTAACTCACCAGAGCTCTTCCAGCACACAGCATTCCCCCCACCCCCCAGCTGGCTTGGAGTTGGGCAGAGAAGCTTATGAGGCTGTTATCTCTCAACAGACAGCTGTGCAGGGCTGGAGGCAGCAGCTTATCAGGGGGCCTGCAGTGATTCACAGCCCAAGTCCCAGCTTCTCTGCTGAATAGTAATTTCCAGCAGTGGAATTGTGCTCAGTCTCTCTCCTCCCCCTTTCCCAAGGGTGTGCTGTCCTTTCTCAGAGAGAGGGCAGTGAAGAGGAGATCCTACCCATGGAGCTGGGGGCTCTGTGCCAGCCTTCTGGGTAAGGCTCAGTCTATTGTCTGCAGGCTGCAGGTTCAGGGACCTCAGCAGGGTCTGCCACCCTTTGCAGTGACCTCCAGGAGAGTTCCTCTATGCTCTCCTCCTTCCTTCCCCTCCCAGAAAAGCAATGTGTCGCTCCCTTTCCCTCAGTGGTGATGTACAGGGGAACATGGGCACAGCCCCTGAGGCCAGGGCCAGCCAGGGTGGGCAGAGTAGGGGAGGAGAGAGGAAGGAGCCAGGGACTGGGCAGTCCCTTGCACCGTTTTGAAGCTGTCCAGTCTCTGTGCCTGACCCTGAAGACTCCAAAGGCTCAGGACGGAAGGCTGAAGGGGAGGGGACACACAGGGGGCCAGGTCAGAGCTGTCTGTACACAGGCGGGTGCTTAGGAAAAAATTTGGGGACAGAGCCATTTTTGTGCTTGTTTTATTGGAAGCAAGACTCTAGCTGCCAGGCTCAGGGGAGGAGGCCTGGAGAGTTCAGTCTTGGGTCTCCCTCTGGGTCAGCAGGGGGAAAAGGGGTGTTAAAAGAGCTAGAACCCTCAGAGATGCTCCTCTGAAGCCGGGAAGGAAAACTAGAAAGGAAAACTGTCCCGGGGCGGGGGGCGGAATAGGGCCCCACATCTCAGACTCTCCTACCCTCAAGCAGTCAGTTCTCACCCCCTGCCTTCCTCTGTCAACGGTGGGGGTGACTCCAAGAGCTCTTCTCAGCTTCCACACTCCAGGCGCCCTTCACGAATGCTGGGTGGCTTAACCTTTGGGGGGGTTCCAAACAAGGTTCCAGAATCCCGCTGCCCACCATTCTCCCCCAAAGAAGGTCCCAGAAAAGGTGAAGGTGAAGTTCAGTATCTTCAGGCAACACGGGCATAAGCATCAACCATCGCACTAAGTTTTCCTGGGGTGGTCGGGGATCCTCTCCTGCCACTCTTAGGGCCCCTCTCTTGTCGCCTTAAGGTCCATGCTACCTGTCTTGAGCTGTGTCCAAGTTGTGGGCTCCAGAGGACAAAGGAGTGAAAGGCTGGAGGTGCAAGTGAAGGTGGAGGTGCTGGGGGAAGATCCTGCCGGTCTAGGCGGCCCACAGCCCGGACTTCTCAGGCCGTCTGATCCGCCTCCGCAGCCCCTGGCTCGGGTTGTGATCGCTTCGCGGAGCCTTCTCCAGCTGCGGGTTCCCCTAGGCTCCTCTTGGACGTCGGCGCGGCCGGCGGGCACGAAGGACCAGGATGGGGGTTCGGGGGCTGGTAGCCGGGCTGTCGCGGATCCAGCGCGTCCTTGGAAAGTAGGATGGCGAGGCCCGGCACGTTCTTAAGTACGCTGAGACTAGCGGCCGGCTCGCCAGGCGTCTGACCCTGCGTGGGCCCAGGCGGGAGGCTCTGCCACACCTCGCGCACGCTCCGGTAGCGCAGCCGCGTGACCTGGTGCAGGCCCGCCAGGCGGCGCTTGAGGATCTCGGCGCACGTGACGGTTTTGGTGGTGGCCCGGCCGCAGCCGCTGAAGACGATGGCGCGCGTGGCTGGCTGCGCCATGCTGGCGGTGGCGAAGGCCATCAGGTTCCGGATCTTGCTGCCCTCCTTGACCCGCATGTGCACCGCGCCCGGCGCCAGGTCTGCGAAGGGGCCGGAACCCGGGCCGCCCCCCTCGGCCCCGCCCCCCGCTGGCGCCTCTTCGGAGCGCACCTTACGGAAGTTCTCCATGCGCCGTCGTCGCCGGGACCGCGGGCTGTGCCATGGGGCGGCCTCAGCCCCGCGGCTGCATGGCCGCCGGTCGCGCCCTGCAAGGGCCAGCAGGGGTAAGGGCGCTGGAGCAGCGCGGACGCCGGCGGGCGGGCTGGGACGGCGCGATCTCGGCCCCACTTCTCTCCAGCGGGCGCAGCTCTACCCCGCGCTCCGGCGGCCCGTTGCTCCGCGCCTTTAGCTGAGGCCCCGCCCCTGCCGCCAGGCCCCGCCCCCGGCCCGGCCCGGCCCGCCCGGGTCCCAGCCTCACCCGCTTTTCTTGGCGAGTCCGGGTCCTCAGCTACGCGGGCGTGGGAGCGGCCGCGCTGCGGGGCGCATGGGGAGGTGAAGGTGAAGTTCCACTGTAATCGCCATCAGCGTCCTCCGGGCCAACGCTCACAAACCGGCAGCCTAAATAAAAGCTGTGCTTGCGGTGCCAAAGCCGCTTCAAACCTGGCATCCGAGCCCTTCCGCGTTGCAACTGAAGGCCGCCCCTCGTCCCCTCCCAGGGAGAGATTTCCGAGAGGCTTGCTGGGGCCTCGCTCCTCCTCCCCTCGGGGAACACCCCCACCTTTTTTCCACTCCCAAGTATTCTTGCTTCAAGGACAGCTAGTGCGCGGTCAGCAGAGTGCGGGAGGAGCTGCCTCCAGCTCCACTCCGCGCCTCCTCTCGGGCGACTACGTCGCGGCGTGGTCCTCGGGGGGCGCGGGAGACCCAGGCTTCAGCCTCGCCGCATCTGCCCACGGCTCGAGGCTCCTGGACCCCCGTGTACCCCTGGAACGTGGGGAATGAGGCTTTGGGGCAGGCTGTTTCCCCAGGCGCACGGGGAAGCGGGCGAGACCTCTTCTGGAGAGGCCGTGGGCTCGCCTCACCCATGCCCGAGAGCCCACGCTTTAGGGTGAGCCAGGCACAGTGCCCCGTCAACGTGGCCGCCCCTTTCCTCCCAGGTGGAATTCGCTCAGGCAACCTTGGCTCCAAAAAAGACCCAGTGGGGTCCTTTTTGGAAAGGAGGCTGGGTGACGGCAGATTTTAAGAAAGAGAAGGGAGGGGCCGGGCGCGGTGTCTCACATCCGTAATCCCAGCGCTTTGGGAGGCCGAGGCGGACGGATTACTTGAGATCAGGAGTTCGACCAGCCTGGCCACCATGGTGAAACACCGTCTCCACTAAACATAGAAAAATTAGCTGGGCGTGGTTGCGCTCGTCTGCAATCCCATCTTCGCGGGAGGCCGAGGCAGGAGAATCCCTTGAACCCGGGATGTGAGGCCGCAGTGAGCGGAGATCACGCCACTGGACTCCAGCCTGGGCGACAGAGCAAGACTCTGTCTCAAAAATAAAAAAAGAGGCCAAAGAGGCCGGGTGCGGTGGCTCACACCTGTAATCCCAGCACTTTGGGAGGCTGAGGCAGGCGGATCACGAGGTCAGGAAATCAAGACCATCCTGGCCAACGTGGTGAAACCCCGTCTCTATAAATAAATAAATAATAAAAGAGAGAGAGAAGGGAGGGATATCCCCGTCTCTATGATGTGATTATTACGCATTGCATGCCTGCATCAAAACGTCTCAGGTAACCTACAAATATAGACACCTATTATGCACCCACAAAAATTAAAAAGACTTTACAAAAATAAAAGAAAGAAGGGAGGAGGCGGGGCGAGGGACACTGAAGCCTTGGGGCCATTATGAAGCTACTGGATGCCTCTCGTCGGAAACTCCATGGGACCGAAAGAGTGGCCCGGGGTCTCCTGCCGGTTGAGAGGAGCATTAGAGAAAGATGAGACTGAGGCCGTCAGGACTGCTGATGCAAAGGAGGGGGTGTGAGAGGGGGCCTGACCCTCCCTAAAACTGCCCTCGGGCCTGGCCTGTCCTCCTTTCTTCCGCCTCACGCCCAGTTAGGACTGAGGCAGGGCGGCAGATCTGGTCCCAGTCGGGGAACTGGGACGGGGCGTGGCGGGGAGGGTCATCGAGAGCTAGGGCGGGCAGGCAACGGCGAAAGTGCGGGGGGCGTGACGGTTGCTGGGCCTCAGCTGGAGATCGGGCTACCAGACCCTCTTCTCCCTCCTCCCGCTGTTCTCGCCTCCTGGGCATCTGCAGCAGCTCTCCGTCTCGGTCCCTGCTGTTCCGAACAGGGGTTTACCCTCTTACCACGCGTTGGGAGTGGCTGCGGCGCCTGGACCTGGGCACCCCAACGTATGAATGGCTGACCCCTCTCCCCGTCTCCTCCTGGGATCAGGAACCCCCGGGATATGCTCCGAACCGGGACTTCGATCTCGCTCCAGTCTCTGTGGGCCCCACACAGTGGTGGGCACTAGAGGCACAACAGCCTTGGGAAGATGCGAGGACTGTCCGCAGCGCGTGGCTGGGCACGGGGAACCGCGGGCTATGTAAGGTCAGGCCCTGAGAGAAAGCCCCCGAAAGGCTGGAAGTTACGTTGGAACAAGCTGGTTTTAGAAGGAGCGAGCTCTCCGTCCCCGGAGGTATGCAAGCTTGGGCTGCACGATCACTTGGAAGGGATTAGGCGGAGGTCTGTCATTTGGAGGAAGGGCCCTGGGAGCTTCGGGTTTGTGTAGGGCGAGAACGGGGCTGTTCTGCGTCGGCCAGGCTGGCCCTCGAGGACGCCGCCGCCCCCACCCTCCTGCACTGCTGTCTGCGGTGGAAGACTCGTGTTCACTGCTCTGCACAGTCGGTGAAGGGAGAACGTCGAAAAGGCCCGCATCCCCTCCTGCCGGTCCCCTCCTCTTCCCCCGCTCCCTCTGCAGCACTTAAAATGTAAATGTACATCGTGATTAGCCGCGGGGTCGCTAATTACCGCTGAAGCCATTCATTACACTGTCAGCGCGCGTCGCAGCCCGCCGGCTGTGCGCTTCCTCCTGGCCGCGGAGGGGCGCGGGGGGCGGGGGCGGGAGATGCGTGGAGTGAGGGCGGAAGGATGGGGTGCTGTGAGTTAGGGTGATGCCGCAGGCCTGGAGGGAGCGGGAGTGGGAGAGAGCGGGCAGCGAGCGGGGGAAACAGGGTGGGCGGTGAAGGACTGGGCAGAGCGGCCGCGAGAGAGGAGAGACGAGGAATCGGGGCGTGAAGTAGTGAGGGCGCAGGGAAAGGGACTGCCTGACGGGGAAACGGGGTAGGGGACTGGGCGAAGGGAGAAAAACCTGCGAAGAAGGTGGAAACCCCAGGGAGGGGCCAAACCCCAGGGAGGGGCTGGAGTCAGGGGAGGGGTTCGAGGGCTCCACTTCGGAAAGGCTGGTAGATGGAGCATCGTTACTTAGAAAACACCACGGTTAGAAAGGTGGAATCAGCCGAGATGTTGTGTTAAAGGAGCTGGGTGCCAGCCATACACACAGTAGGGGAGCATTTATTTCCGTGTGTGTTTCTAGATGTCAGTGTATTTTTAAAATACCTGCCAGAAAACAGCACACTGACCTCTTGTTACCGCATCCAGTTTTCATTACCTTCTTTAAGAAAAGGACTATTAAATATGCATATTAAGTTAAATACAGAGTCTTGGAGCAGCTGGTATAAATGAGCTACTGACCCTGAAGCTTCAGCTTCGGTTAGCTTCTTTCTGCCTCTTTGTGACCTTGGACAATTTACTTAACCCATCTGCCTTGGCTTTGTCATCTGTAAAATGGGGCTAATTATAGTAATCCACCTCACAGAGTGATTACGAGACACAGCAGTCTTGGAACCTTGGCTGCTAAGTTCTCAGGAAATGTTGGCTGTTATTACTTTTTATGTGTATTTTTGCGAATAAAATAATTTTTTTTTTTAGACAGAGTCTTGCTCTGTTGCCAGGCGCCAGGCTGGAGTGCAGTGGCGCAATCTCAGCTCACTGCAATCTCCACCTCCTGAGTTCAAGCAATTCTCCTGCCTCTGCCTCCCGAGTAGCTGGGACTGCAGGCACGTGCCACCATGCCCAACTAATTTTTGTATTTTTTAGTAGAGACAGGGTTTCACCATTTTGGCCAGGATGGTCTTGATCTCTTGACCTTGTGATCTGCCCGTCTCGGCCTCCCAAAGTGCTGGGATTACAGGCATGAGCCACTGCGCCCGGCAATAAAATACTTTTTTTTTTTTTTTTTTTTTGAGACAGAGTTTCGCTCTTGTTACCCAGGCTGGAGTGCAATGGCGCGATCTCGGCTCACCACAACCTCCGCCTCCTGGGTTCAGGCATTTCTCCTGCCTCAGCCTCCTGAGTAGCTGGGATTACAGGCACGTGCCACCATGCCCAGCTAATTTTTTGTATTTTTAGTAGAGACGGGGTTTCACCATGTTGACCAGGATGGTCTCGATCTCTCGACCTCGTGATCCACCCGCCTCAGCCTCCCAAAGTGCTGGGATTACAGGCTTGAGCCACCGCGCTCGGCGCTAAAATACTTTTTTTTTTTTTTTTTAAAGGATTATGGGAAAGGAAACTGGTGAAAAGGAAAAGAAATTGGGACAGCTTCAGAAATAATAGCAGTTTTCATCATACGTTAGGAACTGGTGAGTGGCAAGTTAGACTCCTTTCACCCTCAGAGGAGGCACTAGGGTAGCTAGGCTAGAGCCCAAGCCTAGCCAATACGTCTCTGAAAACGTTCCCTGGGGCCTTCCAGCAGCACGCCCTACCTCCCATGGACGAATCTCCCGTGTTCACACTGGAGGTGGGTCCCTGATGCAGCCCTTCTCCTCTGTCTCCTGTGGCAGGAGGAGGGTGAGGAGCTCTTAAAAATCCCTGGAGCTAGTCCCAGCCTCTTTGGGCAGAGGCTTGGGAGCACACCTAGAGTCAGGAATAAGAAAGTTAGCAGGGAAGAAGAATAAAATAAAATAAAAATAAAAATAAAGAAAGTTAGCAGGGCCAGAGGGAACTCAGATTTAGCAGGCACCCACCGAGCGCCAAGCATTGGGTCCCATGCGTTGACTCTCCATACTCTTCTTTTCCAGGAAGGTATGATCATTGTTTGACAGATGTGAAACTGAGACCCAGAGAGGTTAAATAACTTGTCCTATGTACCACAGCTAGAAAGCAGCAACCACAGATGTTTGAACCCAGAACTCTGACTCTACTGTCTCAGCTGAATATAAGAGAAAAATAAACTTACGACTTGAACTGCCCAATAAAGGTAGGGGTTAGCTTTGGGAGATGAGGGTGTTTCCACAGTGGAAAAGATGTATTGGTGCTATCGCTGAATAAAAATTACCCCACAGCTCAGCAGCTTTAAACAGCAAACATTTGGCCAGGTGCAGTGGCTCACACCTGTAATCCCAACACTCTGGGAGGCTGGGGCTGGAGGATCGCTAGAGACCAGGAAGGTGAGATTGCAGTAAGCTGTGACTGCACCACTGCGTTCCAGCCTGGGCAACAGATCGAGACACTGTCTCAAAACAAACCAAAAAACCCCAATGATAATCATGTATTATTGTGAGATCACACAGTTTCTGAGGGTCAGAAATCCAAGAGCAACTTGAAGAGGTCTCATCCAGCTCAG